CGTTAATGACTGATTACTATAATCATGTTGCATTCATTTCCCTTACGTGCACCATTTCTCTCCACATTTTAGCAGCCGATTGTCATGTCATTAGTCTTGGACTGACTTGTTTGGTGTGCGCAACAGGAAATATTTTGCTTTTGGAGAACAAGAAAAATAGGTTTATTTGTGTTACGCTTATTAATTTGTTCAGTTATTCAGTGTCTGGTAAGTTAATGTTCAAGAAAAACATTAATTTTTATTACAATGTTTCATTATTTTATATTAACAATTATTTATTTCAGCCCTTTGTATTCAGCATGTCTCTATCGAAATAAACCTACGTTTCTATGAAAGTTGAAGCTTTTGTTTTTTTGCGGCCCACATAAACTTACACCTTGTTTATTGGCCCGTGTTAGCCTTTGAGTTTGACATGCTTAATGTGGGTGCTGTGGGGTGAAGCCCACCTCCCATCCAGGCCTGCTCATTCCCAGGTGCCTGGTTCACAGATGTCATTGTCAAACAGTGCAAGAGCCTGAAATAGGCCTGAAGAGGTCTGCCCTTCGAACTCACTCGTGGGCATGTTGTAGATCTGACCGTCCAGATGGGGGTCCCCAAGGGAGCAGCCTTCGTGTGTCAGGCACTTGGGAGCGTGAACAGAACTGGGGCCTCTTTTACTCTCTCACTGGCAGTAACCACCTGTGTAGTCTAAGCATAGTTTGAACTTAGGGGAACATGGAGCTGTGGCCCCCATCCTGCCCTGGAAGGGTCTGCAGCCTAAGTTGGGAGCAGAGTACACTCTTCCCAAAGGTTAAAAGTACTAACATATGGTGTGAGTCCATCTGTAATTTCCAGGAAAGGTACCTCTAGAGCAGCGGTTCTCAACCTTCCTAATGCCGCCACCCTTAAATACAGTTCCTCATGTTGTGGTGACCCCCAACTTCATTGTTACAAATTGAACATAATTAAAGCACAGTGATTAATCACAAAAACAATATGTAATTATATATGTGTTTTCCGATGGTCTTAGGCGACCCCTGTGAAAGGGTCGTTCGACCCCCAAAGGGGTCGCGACCCACAGGTTGAGAACCATTGCTCTAGAGAGAGAGAGACAGCAAAGCAAAGGTTGCCTTAGGGGTGAGGGGTGAAGGGTGTGGGGGAAAGCAGGGTTGACTGTGGACAGCCTGACGGAACTTCCTGCCATTCTGGAGCACTGATCTGAAGTTAGATTTTAGAAAGAGACAGGCGCAGGCAGGCGGATGCTCAAGGTGTCACAGAGCAGCACTGGCGGGCGCTGCTCTAGGCCCTCTGTGGAGCACAGTCACTGAGCGCTTGCCGGGGCCCAAGCTGTGCCAGCACAGGAGGAATGCAGCCACCAACCAGGCAGGGGTGGCCTCTCCTCACGGGCTTACACTGGGCACTGGACAGACAAAAATGAACAGAGTTCCAGGAGGAAAGTGAAATGTGGCATGCGGGTAGCACCAGGCAGGTGGGGCACAGGGGAGTGCAGAGCCAGGGCTGCTGGGGCTGGGGTCTGAGAGGTCAGGAGCCCATCTCCCAACGACTGAAGAATCGTTCAGTGGGCAAGAGCTCACTGTCATGTCTGACCGAGTGGCAGCCTCTGCCACAGTGACTTCTCAGCCCTGGGCCGCCCCAGCCTCCCAGGGCTTCTGCAGAAGGCAGGCTCCACAGGGCCCACGCTGGCACCTGACCTGAGGCAGAGTCTTGGAGGACGTTCTGGCTTGGGATGGGCCCTGTGTTGGCACTGGCATGGATTTTATAACAGCAGCCATTGTGGGGCTCACTGGTGGTTGACCCAGGTTCTGACTAGCCAGGTGGATCCCAGGAGGCATTGCTTTCCACACACCACCAAGGTCACAGCCAGGTGGGAGAGGGGGCCGAGCCACGCAGGTCTCAAACAGTAAGCTTATGAGGTTCCTGGCTTCTCATTAGATGTGAGAGAAAAAGTGGGCTTCAGTCCTTAGCTTGCCAGGCCCCACCAAGCGCTGTGCCTGTTTCCTCTCTTGCAGGGTAGTAACTTGATCAGGTTGTAGAGCATATCAGTTGAGGGGTGAAAGAGGCAGGCTCTGTTAATATGGGGCACAGACTCTACACGTGGATGGTATTTCCACAGCAACATACTATTGCTCTTGTTGGGCCCAAAGATGTATATAAACCTGAGCAGAACCGAAGTGTTGGTGTGGTGGCCTTCCCTATGCACAGGGCATCTCTGGGCACAGGCCTCTCTCCCCAGAGCGTCCTGGCCCCTGAGCATCCTCAGGCAGCCCCTAGAAAAGGCTGTACCTTGCACCCAAAGGTAGGTGCTTGTGACCCATACATGGCTCCCAGCTCTGCCTGCGGACCATTCAGGTCTTCTCTCTGCTAGGCCACGGTCATGCCTCCCGGGAGCCCCACACTCCCACACTCAGCACTGTACCCGTTCTTTGTTGTTGTTGTTGGGTTGACATATGGCTTCTTTGGTTTTCACACTTTTCCTTTATTTATTTATTTATTTATTTATTAAAAATATATTTTATTGACTTTTTACAGAGAGAAAGGGAGAGGGATAGAGAGTTAGAAACATCGATGAGAGAGAAACATCCATCAGCTGCTTCCTGCACATCTCCCTACTGGTTATGTGCCCACAACCAAGGTACATGCCCTTGACCGGAATCGAGCCCAGGACCCTTCAGTCCTCAGGCTGATGCTCTATCCACTGAGCCAAACCAGTTAGGGTGCACTTTTCCTTTTTTAAAAAAATAGATTAGAGAGGGGAAGGGAGGGAGAGATAGGAACATCAGTGATGAGAGAGAATCATCAACCGGCTGCCTCCTGCATGCCCCCTTCTGGGGATCAAGCCCACAACCCAAGCTTGTGCCCTGGCCTGGAATTGAACCATGACCACCTGTTTCATGGGTCTACGCTCAACCATTGAGCCACACCAGCTGGGCCCACTTTTCCTTTTGTCATCTTCTCATCCATTTGTACTGGTTCTAAAACTGAGACTTGGAGAGCAGGGACATGGGGGGCAATTCACCACCACCTGAGGGATTTGAGCTGAGAGCTCCAAAATGGGGTGGGGAGATAGGTAGCCTGGTAGTTCCTCCAAGGCCTCCCCAGTACCTGAGCACAGGATGGCCAGGTAAACCTGGCCCTGCGTGGGGGACCAGAGGAGCTGTGTGGAGGGCTTGGGAAAGCTGAGTCCTGGATTCCCAGTAGAGGTGAGGAGTGACACTCCTGGGGGGGCCTGGAGGAGGATGCAGGGGTTCCTCCCTCAGGGAGCCGCTGCCTTCAGTGCCTGCACTGAGGGGCCGTCTGGCCCCGTGATCTCAGCCCGGAAGGTGTGGTTTCAGGCTTCAGCTCCCCTCTGTGCACCAGCAGAGCGTCTCACGTCAGGCAGTCAACTCACTTCCCTCTCTGGCAGCCACCGGATTTGTGAACGTCCTATTTTCCCATAATCAAAAGAAGTGAAACTGCCCCGTGAAATAGAGTGGAACGCCCCAGAACACCTAGGGCAGACAGGGTCTTTTCCTTATGAAGTCGTTAGCAGAAGCTGGAGAGCAGGCCTTGCCTCTCCTGTGAGGTCCCCTAGAGGATGGTGCACCACAGAGGCCAGCCAGCAGGTCCAGGTGGTGACAGTCCCAGGTCAGCCCCACACACCAGCCCTGCTTTCGTCTTGCCCTCCCCCTTCCTGTCCCCTCTCCCCCCTGTACTGATCTCCTTTCTCACCTGTGCCGTTTCCTTCTTAGACTCCCTGGCTTTAGCCAAGTTGAGAACCACCGACTTCCCTCTAACTCTTGGTGGGGAGTGGGGAGGATACGAACAGGCTAGGCCTGGCCTGGAGTTCTGCTCAGTCCCCATGGAGGGACGAGACACGTGGGGAAAGTAATAGTGGTCAGAGGTGAAGACAGTGTGGTTGCCCAGTGCTTACTGTTTGCCAGGCACACTCCTGAGCACACACATGCAGCAGGCCACAGAAGCCGGCACATGGTCCCGTGAGTGCCTATCTGTCACCCTGTTTCACAAAGAGAAAAACAGAGGCCCAGTGAAGCCGCTTATCCATGACCACATAGGTAGAAGGTGGCAGGCCTGCCCTTGCATGTCAGTGACCTGGCTGCTCCTGTAGACTGAGCTGCTGGGTGTCCTCAGGAGCCCCGGGAGGGGTTTTCATGTGTGAGCAGAAACTGCTGCCAGCCATTAGGAAATAGAGTGTGTCTGTGTATGTGCCATGCATGTATGAGTGTCTGATTTTTTTTTTTCATGGCTAATCCTCACCCGAGGATATTTTTTCAATTAATTTTGAGAGAGAGTTGGGGGGAGAGAAACATTGGTGTGAGAGAGACACATCCATTGGTTGCCTCCTGCATGTGCCCCAACCAGGGCCAGGGATCAAACCTGCAACCCAGGTATGTGACCTTGACTGGGAATCGAACCTGTGACCCTTTGGCGCACAGGGAATGCTCTAACCACTGAGCAACATAGGCCAGGGCAAGTATCTGTGATTAAGCATGCGAAATTAAACATGTCACACACTGCTGTTCGGGGTTGTGTGTGATTAAGCATGCCAGAGTGCTGTTCAGATGTGTGTGCCCACACATGACCATGAGAAATGACTTCTAGGCAGCATAACATTGGCCCGAGCAGGGCAAGCCTCTTCTTCCCTCAGCTCTTGTCAAACATGACACTTACCGTGTTCGTTCAGCCATGGGACCTCCTCTCCACTTTAGACCTGCTCGCCTCTCAGGAGCCTCCCCCTACCTGCTCTGAGCATGCATTTTGAGGGATTTGCCATACCCAGTGATCCTGAGAGGAGCCCCCACCTTCATTGCAGGAGCGTGTGGTTTGGAGTGTGTGCTCAGTCACCCGTCTTGCCATTGGCTGCTGTGTTCAGCATCTCTGGGAAGCTATCATGCATATCCTGACCCCGTGATCTCCCACCTGCAGTGGACGTGGCATGGCTGGAAGGCATCCTGGGGCCTCCTCCTCTGAGACTCATTCTTTTACCTTCTTCTGTTCCCCAGCTGGTCAGCGAGAAGGTCGGAGGGGCTGAAGGGACCAAGCTTGACGATGACTTCAAAGAGATGGAGAAGGTAATGGGAAGAGTGGTGTGCCCTGTCTCATGTCTGGCACCATTTACCGAGTCCCTCATGAGGCCCAGCTCTGACATCTAGGACGAGGCTTATCAGGATGGACTAGAGGCATCAGGTGTCCCTTAGCCCTGGGCAGGCACCAGCGGGGACATGGTGTAATGAACAACAGGGAGGCCAGGCAGCCCTCGCAGCAGCGTGTAGTTCTTATGTGGGCTCCTAGGCAGGCAGCGACTGGGGAGCAGGGCAAGGGCTTTCCAGGGGCCCCTGGTTTGGCCTTGGGTGCCCCAGTGATTTTGAAACCACACATGTTGCCTCTTTACAGAAGGTGGATGTTACCAGCAAGGCTGTGGCGGAAGTGCTGGCCAGAACCATCGAATACCTGCAGCCCAACCCAGGTAGGGGCACCAGCTAGCTGCAAGTTCTTCCGGTTACCGCAGCATGAAGAAGGAACGTAAGGGATCACAAAACTAAAATGTCATGGGGTAGGTGGGTTTTCGGCATGGCTGGGTCCAGATACCTAAAGGATGTCCTTGGGGCCATGCATTTCTTTTCTGCTTCATCTGGCAGCTCTCATTCCTTGTGTCAATCCCAACCTTAAATCACCTTTGCAGCTAACAGTCCCAGCAGAAAAGAGCACCTCCCCCGACACCCCAACCGATTCATTGGGTCAATTTGAATTGGGTGTTCATCCTAATTTGTCAGGCACCAGCCACATGCTCGCCTTTGGAACATGAAGTGGGATCTCTTAGGATGAGAGGGAAGTGGGGACCTTCCCTCAGGGAATATCCAAATGCTAGTTCCGATAGCAGGAGGCAGTAGACGTGGAACAGGTACCAAGCCTAGGCGTCTCCACTCAAGGCCTATGCCAGGGACAGACCCAAGTGGGCAGAGGTAGGAGCACAGCTGCTCCCCCACCTCAGGTGGATATCCACGTCTGGGATGCCTGTACCTGCCCACCACCGCTTCTCTAGCTGCTCCACCACGCCATTGAGGGGAGGGGCCCAGTCAGAGCCATGCTCCAGGATGAGGAGGTCCTGAGGGCTCCTGAAGAGCCGATCGCCTCTCCTGCCCACACCCCATGATCCTTTGTGGCCAAGAACAGAGTAGGGCAGGCCTGCTCAGGGGCCTCATATCCTGGTTGTCAACAGGCATGGCAACCAAGTGCCTTGGGCCAAGGGAGTACTTTGGAAATAAATATGTGGGCCTTGGGGAAGAGCAGGAGCACCCAGGGCAGTGGCAGTGCTAGCTGAGCATCAGCCTGGTGGCTCCTGGAGAAACCACCCACATGCCCACCCGGCCCATTCTTTTCCAGCCTCACGGGCCAAGCTGACGATGCTCAACACGGTATCCAAGATCCGTGGGCAGGTGAAGAATCCTGGCTACCCGCAGTCGGAGGGCCTGCTGGGCGAGTGCATGATTCGTCACGGGAAGGAGCTGGGTGGCGAGTCCAACTTCGGTGAGGGCCGCCATGATGGCCTCAGCAGGTTGCATGGGCAGGCGGCCAGGCTGAGGGAGGGAAGGCCAGAGCCTCCCCACACTGGTGAGCAGGAGGGCACTTCCCTCCCATAGCTCCAGAATCTTCTCTAGTGCTGGCTGGTCCCATGCGGGGAGGGAGAATCCCAGCACCACCTAAAGTGTTAAGGCTGGGGGAAGGCCTCCCCCTCACGCCACAGCGCGTTCAGGGCAAATCTGGTCCCTTCTGAGAGTGTGGAGGGGCAGGTTGCTTGACACTTGTTATTACGAGCCCTAGGCCCCTGGCTCAGGAACAGACGTGATGGTCTGTTGCTCTGATTTCTGGTCATTCCTTCACTGTGGGGTCATTTTAAAAGTTGGGGGTGTCTTGGCCCCACAGGCATCCTGTGATGGCTCTTCCCCCACCCCACACCCCCACAGGCGATGCCCTGCTGGATGCAGGGGAGTCCATGAAGTGCCTGGCAGAGGTGAAGGACTCCTTGGACATAGAGGTCAAGCAGAACTTCATTGATCCCCTGCAGAACCTGTGTGACAAAGACCTGAAGGAGATCCAGGTATGCCTTGATGCCCTGTCCCTCATGCCCACCCCCTATAGCCCTCAGGGGTCCCACATGGGTCCCTCACTCAGTGAGCCTCTTCCCATCCTGGGCCCCTGCTCAGCTCACCTCTGTGCATACTTGCTGTGAGCAGGGCTGCAGGGCATTGGAGGCCCTGCAGTTGACCCTCGCCCTGCCCCCAGCACCACTTGAAGAAGTTAGAGGGCCGCCGCCTGGACTTTGACTATAAGAAGAAGCGGCAGGGCAAGATCCCCGATGAGGAGCTGCGCCAGGCCCTGGAGAAGTTCGAAGAGTCCAAGGAGGTGGCTGAGACCAGCATGCACAACCTCCTGGAGACAGATGTACGTCCATGGGCCCGGGGACTACCCTTGCTTGGGAAGCCCCTGACACCAATGCCAGCATCCAAGGGCTCAATGCCAGTTTAGGAGGTGAAGGAAATGAAGGGGGAGCAAGGAGCAGAGGGGGGCAGCAACTGGCACCCTGAGGCTTTCAGTGTTTTGGGCCCTTCACCCTTCTCCAGCTGCAGCTCTAAGGTCAGCCGGGCCCCAGTGCCTGGAGCAGTCTGGGAAGGCTCCTTGCAGGAAGTGGCCTGGAGATGGGAGTTAGAGGACAGCCCCCTCTCAGCTCTGGCTGGTTGCTTGCAGGTTGAGCAGGTGAGCCAGCTCTCTGCCCTGGTGGATGCCCAGCTGGAATACCACCGGCAGGCCGTGCAGATCCTGGACGAGCTGGCCAGCAAGCTTAAGCGAAGGTGAGCCCCTTCCCTTCTGTGCTGGCCGGGAAAGGCCTAGTGGCTGTGGGGTCCCTGCTGTGGATTCCTGGGCTGGCAGCTGGCTTTTTACAATCTCTGGGCTGTGGGGATCCCACAAGGGAGTAGGACCTCCTCGGGCTTGTCCTGTCCCGAAGGAGAGGGTGGAGTGGTGGTGGGACAGGAGACAACCTGAGGGGGATGGGAGGCAGCTTACTCAGGCAGACCCTAGGAGCCCTTCCTCCACTGCCAGTCTCCTTGGTTGGCAGTGGTTCCCTGGTGGGGCCACTTGGCAACCTGAAAAATGCCCTAGTCTGGGGATCTGGCCCAGGGGATCTCCCAGGATTCCCGTGTGTTGTGTCCATCTCACAGCCTCCCCAGGGTCCCACTGCCCATGTGGCGGCAGCAAAAACAGCTGGGTGGCGGGGGGGTTGTTTTCTGGCCTTGACACCCTGGCTTGTGATGCAGGCTCTGTGTCCGCTCACACCTCCCGCTTCACTTGCAGGATGCGGGAAGCCTCTTCACGCCCCAAGCGTGAATACAAGCCCAAGCCCCGGGAGAGCTTTGACCTTGGAGAGTCTGAGCAGTCCAACGGGGGCTTCCCAACCCCCAAGATCTCAGGTAAGGTGCTGGAGGGGCCGTGCTTTCCCAGGGCCTCAGAGACAGGCCCCTTGTGGGACAGCCCCAGCCTGCTGCCCCATCCAAGCCCTCTGCAAAAGGGGCCCGAGATGGGACCAGGCCCCACCTCAGCACTCTCAGCCCACCTGTGTGTTTTGTTTGCAAGCAGCTTCGTCATCTTTCCGATCTTCCGACAAGCCCATACGGACCCCTAGCAGGAGCATGCGTGAGTGTCCCCGCCTCGGTTTATAACGGTGCCTTCCAGTCTATCCTGCGAGGGTCTCTCTGACTCCCCTGATCTAGTGGAAGTGCACACCTGTTGGGGTTTCCTCAGACCTGCAAGCAGGGAAGGAGCCGAGTTCTTGCCTCTGTGGCCTCAGCCTTCCCATGGAAAATGGGCCGCTGTGAGCGTCCAGGGCACCCTAATGCCACTGTGCGCCCCCAGCTCCTCCCAGGAGCATTGTGGTAACCACTCACAGAACCCTTTCCATCCTCCGTTGTGTGTGTCACTTGCTCCTTATTCCCAACAACCCTGGGGAGCCAGAGGAAGAGTGCCTCTCCTTAGGGGAAACGGAGGCACAGCGAGGCAGCAGGTGGGGTTTGGGCTGGACGCCCAGACCTTACACCCATACTCTGCCCACCCCCAGCGCCCCTGGACCAGCCAAGCTGCAAGGCACTCTATGACTTTGAGCCCGAGAACGATGGGGAGCTGGGCTTCCATGAGGGCGACATCATCACGCTGACCAACCAGATCGACGAGAACTGGTACGAGGGCATGCTCCATGGCCAGTCGGGCTTCTTCCCCCTCAGCTACGTGGAGGTGCTGGTGCCCCTGCCTCAGTGACAGCGTGGGCCTGCTCACCTCTCCGTCCAGATCGCCTGTATTCCATTCGGCCCGAAGCACAGCAAGGGTAGTGCTCCTCCCAGGGCCTCCCGAGGTATTCCCAGGGCACCAGGACTCGAGGCAGCAGGGCCAATCGGAGAGGCCAGGGGCCCTGTTTACACTAGTGCTCACCCATAGAGGTGGTGGAAGCCCCCCTCCCCACCCGCCCTGAGGGGGGCTAACACTAAGGTGCTCTTAGAAACACTAACGTCCTCCCGCCCCCTCCAGGACTGGTGACTGGGTGGGTCCCCCTCACTCAGACACACACATACCCTCTGACCCCTCCACACTGGGGCCTGGCCCACCCTGACCTGCCCTTATTGTGAGCAGATTGAAAGTCTGTGTGATGGGATGGTCCAAGCAGGACCACTGGCCCAGTCTCGCCACCCTGCTTTTAAATTCCCCCAAGAACTCCTTCTCAGGCTCCTGCATGCCCACAGATGCCACCTCCTTAGTAGGGCCTCACCCAGGGGCCCAGTCCCCTAAGGACAGGCCCTGTCCTCAGCTGCAGGGTGCTGAGCCCTACACACCCATGCGCACCCTACCCCTAACCAAGCACATGGACCATTTCTGGCACAAGCTGCCACCACCAGCTACATACACACACACAGACACAGACACACCATACACGGGACCATGGGAGCCCCCAGCTTCCTCTCTGCTGAAGGTCAAGCACAAAGGCTTTGATGAGTGAATGTTGCCAGACCCCTGGCTGCTCGGGAGGGTCACAGGGCCTCCCCCATCCCAAGCTGGCTGCCCTCCCCCTGTTGACAGTATCCCCAGCTGTCTCCTCCAGACCAAGGTAGGCAGCTGCCCAGACCAGCAGGGCCCCGGCCCTGCATCCACTTCGCCTCTTGCCTAATCTGAAATTGGCCTCGGGGGACCTCGGGCCTGGTTCACATTCCCTTCCCCGGTGACCCCGCACAGCCCCCATGACACCAGGCTCTGCTCGTTCCCAAGGCCCCCCCACCATCATGAGTGGGTGAGACACAGGCATCCGGACCAAGACAAGCAGCATAGCCTTGGTCAGTCTAGGGCAGAAGGAAATGTAATCCTGATTTTTTTTTAAAGAAGTATTAAACGTCTCTTTCTACAGTCTCTTGCCTGGTTGTGGTGTGGGGCAGGCCTTCTCTTCACCGGGACATCCACAGCCCTCCCAAGGGGTCTCTGGTCAGGACAGGGCCTACACAGCTGCCCACCTACCCACTCTTGGAGTGGGCACCAGCCCCATAGCAAGCCCAGGAAGGGCGGTTGTCATTCACCCTTCAGTGGCATGGGAGGTATGTCCCCAAGACTCCTCTCCCCACAGCCCCAGGAAGGGACAGGGCTGGGGTTGGGTCCAGCACTGTCCACACACTCGGCTGCATGAGTGCTCCATGGCCAGACAGCAGCCTGTGCCCAGCAGCAAGTGCTCAGGGGCCCCCCTTAGGGTGAGACACAGGCCTGGCTGTTTGCTTCTCCTTTATTCTATGAGCACCTGCATCGAACAATGCAGTCCCGCAGGAACACAGCAACACAGTCACAAACGAAACCTCTCGACCTGCTCCCCTCACCCGAGGTTGGGGGGTGCCGAGTCTGACCAGGAGGCCTCCGAGGTCCTCAGAGGTCGATCCTCTCAGTTCCCTTGCTTAAGGACGCTGTACACCTGCTCCAGCACATGGCACAGGCCCTGGTCCTTGGGCATCCTGCTGGCCAGGGAGATCTGTAACAAGCAGGCCTGGCAGCTCAGGACCATGTCCAGCAGGCCTGACCTGGCCTCGCCCCCAAGGCCCAAGTGCTGCCACATGGCAGAGGGGCTCGCCTACCCACGGTACACGGTGGTATCTCTAAAGCAATGCTTGCTTTTTAACTAAAGCGATGTTGAGTAACAAGACCCAGCTGACTAATGTTTGGGGTGAGGGGTCATCTGCACTTTACAAATCCTGCTGTCACTCCAGCCTGGATCCCACTCGCCACATGCTGACAGCTACCCAGCAGCCCCGTGCCTGGCTGGGAGGTGACCAGGAACAACTTTAAACCCTGGTTACTGTTTTCCTTACAATTTTCTTTAAAAGGGTCTCAGGTTCAATTTCTGGTCAAAGGCAGGTGCCTGGGTTGCAGGTTTGATCCATGGCCCCAGGTTGGCGTGTGTGGGGGAGGCAACCAACTGATGTGTTTCTCTCCACCCACTCCCTTCCACTAAAAATCAACGGAAAAAATATCCTCAGGTGAGGATTAGCAAAAAATAAAAGTTTGAACAAAACAAGCAAAAGTGTGAAACTGTCTGTATGCAAAGCAGAGTTGAGAGTATCTTCTGAGGATGACTTTCAAACAGGAAATAAATCAGACACACACCGGAGGCCAATAAATGCCTAATTTAAATGTCCCACTACCTGAAGGGCCAGTGTGCACGTTCACAACACCAGCAGCTCTTAAGACTCTAAACCAGATCAGAACCCTGCACACCCTCTGTGTGTGAGTGGCTGCCGAGGGAAGTAGGGCCCGGCGCAGCTTCAGCGGGGCTGTCCCAGGGCCTGGGAGTCTACAGGACTTTAACGTTTCATCTCCACTTTGATGGTGGTTCCCACCCCCACCCTCATGATAAAACAAGGCTTTTTGGCACTGTTCATTTCCAGCTGGAATAGTTTTGTAGAGAACAAGTTAGGGAATCCCTTTCTCAAGCTGCCCATGGGTGTATTCTTGGATGCTCCCCAAGAGCTGTCTTCCTACAGTAGGGGTTCACATGGGACTTGGGGTAGAAATCTTACCTTGAGCTTGTCAAGGTAGGTGTGCTCCTGGTTCCAGGGCTCCTGGAACCTCACCAGGTCCGGGGCGCCCTTGTAGAACTCCACCAGCAGCATCTACAGGACGGGGTGGTTGGGACCCGTCGCTCCCGCCTCCCCACGCCAGGCACTGGGATCCAGCAGTGAGCAGTACGGCGCTGCCGCTACCTATCACCTATCGTGAAGGCTTCCGGGCTAATGCAACCAGCAGACAACACCGCTCACCAAGGAAGTCCACGGAGGACCCACCCAGTCGACAGGAGGGAGCTCAGCAAGAGGGAACTGCCCGAGAGGCTGAGGGAGGCACGCCGAACGTGGTATCACACAGGCCTGACAGCCTCCTGTTTTGGCCTCACTAACGATACCCTGAAACCACAGGTGTCATGAACTAGCTCCGTTTTTTAAATGCCTGTTGAGCCACAGGCATAAACCATCCTGCTGACACCTGGAGTCCTCCACGTGTCTCCCCTTGGAGAGGAGGCAGGTGCAGAGGCCCGAGATGGGAGCATCCCTGGTGTGTCCAGAACAACTAGGAGGCCGGGGGGTGAGGGAGGTGCTGCAAGGGCCTGGGACTGCGTGCTAAGAGACACAGGTTGGTTATCTGCAGAAGAGGGACCTGACCAGGGCCTTGGTGGCACATTCAGCCACGGCTGCCTGAGTCAGACCTTGTCCTGCAGGCCCAGCTAGGCACTTTCAGACCCGGCCCGCCCCATGAGGAGGGCTGCACCCTCCTCACCTGGGAGTGAGCTCACCATCTCATGGAGGATGTCATTCGTCAGGAAGCTGTCCTGGACGTAAGCCATCTCCACGTCCATGGGGATACCGTAGTCACTGGGCCTTTGCTGGCAGGGACACCGGCCAGTCACCACCAGCCGCCCCAAGCCTCCCACCCTATGACACATCCAGCACATTGACCCTCGGCCTCCCTCAGGAGACCCGCCTACCTCAGGCGGTGGCATCACCCAGAACGGGGAGATCTTGGACTCTGGGCCCTGGTTGCCAGAGTAGTAAGGGGCTGTGGGAGGAGAGAGAGGGGCTGGGCCTGGGGGGCTCATGGTCCAGGAGTCACACACACACACACACACACACACACACACACACACACACACACCTACCCCAGGGGGCACTTACAGCAGAGCAGGGCCAGGCAGGGCTGGAAGCCATTGCTGGAGCCCTGCAGCCGCAGCTGGTAGTCCATCTGTGTGTCGATGTCCTGCAGCGATGGCAGCGCCGGGCTGTGTGGGTGGCTGTGGTACCAGCCCACCAGGGACAGGCCCCGCAGAAGCAGGCTCTGATAGATCTGCGGACAGAGGCAGGGCTGGAGAGGGTGGGGAGCTGGGGCCCTACCAGCCTTGGTGTGCTCCTGACTCCATCCAGCTCCTCGTGAGAGCAGCACATAATGAGTGCCTGCTGTGTACCAGGACTGCGCCCACGCCCACCCTAACAAGTCCGGTTGGGGGATGGTCAACAAGTACATAAAAAAGATGCACCTGTCATGAAACAAAGGCAAAAAGTGATTTTCCCTGCTGTGTCCCAACTCCTGCAACAACGCCTGCCACACAGTAGATGCTCAATAAACAGTTAAGGAAGTGGATATACATGCATTTGAGCAGGCACAGGCATTCTGAATGCCTGCAGCAAGTGGAGGCAAGCGGGGGCAGAAAGAGAACGGTTCTTGCTGAATCAATATCCATTCACTTATCCCCGAGAGACACAAGAAGGTGGGTGTAGAGCGCTGAGCATGGTGCCAGGTGCATATGAAGAACCATTGGGAAAACATCAAGAATGGCAGCCTGATGGGGGTGGCTCAGTGGTTGAGCATCGACCTATGAACCAGGAGGTCACAGTTCCATGTGTCCTGACCTGGTTGCGGGCTTGATTCCCAGTGGAGGTGTGCAGGAGGCAGCCAATCAGTGATTCTCTCTCATCATTGATGTTTCTATCTCTCTCTCTCCTTCCACCTCTCTAGCTCTTCCTCTCTGAAATAAATAAAAATATATTTATAAATAAATAAAATGGCAGTTAAGCCCTGGCTCATTTGGTTCAGTGGTTAGAGTGTCCGCCCATGGACCAAAGAGTCTCAGATTCAATTCCCAATCAAGGGCACATAGGTTAAGGGTACACATACCTCAGTTGGAAGGCAACCAATTGGTATGTCTCTCTCACATCGATGTCTCTCTCTCTCTGTCGTTCCCCCTCTCTTCCATTCTAAAAATCAATGGGAGAAAACATATCCTCGGGTGAGGATTTACAAACTCTTTCTCTTCCTCCTCCCTCCTCCCTCTCTTCTACTCTCTCTAGAAATCAATGAAAAAAATATCGAGTGAGGATTTTTTTAAAAAAAGACCATTAAAATGTATCCAGCCCTTACTAGGTGTCAGCTGGGGCAAGGGCTCACACATGCTCATTTGCACATTTTCTGAGCACTGACTGCCAGATGCCAGACAGCTGTGTGCACCCATCCCACCCCAGAACGCCCCATCCTGGGTGTCCCCTCACCTCCTCTTCCACAGTGGCCCCGGTATCCACGTCCCCCAACCGGCTGCGACAGGGAAAGGCTCTCAGCACCGTGAGCACTGCACAGAGTGGGGAGAGACCGCGTGGATATCGACCCGGCCCCCAATATCCCCCTGCCCACTAGGCCCCAGTTACCCACTCTGGCTGTTGATGTCCCAGCGGCCCCCCAGGTACCCCACGACCTCGCTGCGAGTTAGGTGGCTGTGGAAGTCCTGGGAAGAGGTACATGAGAAGACATAGTCAGGCTACACCGGGCCCCCATCCATCCTGGGAGTGCAGGGCTCTTGTGCTGGGCAGGGGCCAACCCTCCCACCGCCTCCTTCTCCCGAACATTGATTGCGCACCTATGAGCAGACAAGGTACCACCCACATAGAGCTGACATTCCAGGGACCCCATCTGCCTCCAGTGCACCCCAGCCCTCTGCCCAGACCTGGGAGCCCTTGACCCACAAGGCACACACCAGCAGGAAGAGCACGTTGCTGGAGATGGCCACATTGAACGGCTGGAACTTGTTGATGGCTGCGAAGGATGTTACTTCCACCAGGGTATGGGGGTTCCTGCAGAAGCCCGAGGGTCCCACCGCTTCAGGAACCCCTAGGCTGGCTCCTCAGCCGTCCCCCCACCCAGATCTGAGGATCTGAGGCCTTGCCCCCGCCTTACTCCTCCACCCACCCCAGCAAGAGCCCGGGTAAACTGGGGTTCGTGTCGGGGACATGGACATATCTGACCTGGCAGAGTCGCGACTGCCCAACATGCAGTATCGCACTGGCACCCGGATCTTGTTTTCCACTCGCTTCCCCAGGGGCGTGGCCTCTGCGGGGTTGGGGTAAGGCAAAAAGGCAGCGTCAGTCCCTCCCCAGCCTGGAACTGGAAATCAAAGACAGGGCAACCCAAGAAGGAAAAAACCCTAGAGGCAGCCTTAACAGTAAGGCAGCGGGACTGGGAAATCAGGCGGCAGGTTGATAAATTGGACGGAGATTTAAAATCAGATGAAGGGCCCAGATCAGGCGAGGACCTCAGAAGACCGGGTTGGGGAGAAGGTGGAATCAGGCATCAAGTTCAGAAATGAGACAACAGGGCAAAGAAATCCTATTGGGGAACAAGGAAAGCAGGCAGCATGGTGAAAAAATTGGGCAGCATATTAAGAAATTGGTCAGTGGGGAAAAAAAAAAAAGAAATTGGTGCATGGGAGCAAGGAACCCAGCATTAGGCAGTGAGAGTGAAATTAGTGGGCTAGGCCCTAACCGGGTTTGGCTCAGTCGGCCTGCGGACTCAAGGGTCCCAGGTTCGATTCTGGTCAAGGCATGTACCCTGGTTGCGGGCACATCCCTAGTGGGGGGTGTACAAGAGGCAGCTGATCGATGTTTCTCTCTCACCGATGTTTCTAACTCTATCCCTCTCCCTTCCTCTCTGTAAAAAAATCAATAAAATATATTTTTTTTAAAAAAAGAAATTAGTGGGCTAGGAAGTCAGCCAGGCATCTTGGAGGCACGGAGGAAAAGAAAGCCCATACCCGTCCACAGCCTCCTCTTACACCTGAGCTCTGCATGTGGCCCACCCTGTCTCCTCCCCTCCCTCACGCCTCTCACCAGGGTGGGCAGGTTCTGAGGGGCCCTTTGGAGGTGGTCTTCGAATTTTCTCCTCTGCTGAGACCCCTGCCAGAACCTCCTCCTCTTCTTCCTCCATCAGCAGCTCCTCCTCCTCCCCTTCACTGGCTGGGCTCTGGCGGGGTGGGGGTGATAGCAGCGGGACCCTCAGCTGGGTGCACTCCACCCTCCCCAAGTCCCACCCAGATTGCTGGCCTGCCTGACCCTTAGGTCCTTGTCGTTGCCTCAGATGTCCGCTAGAGGGAGGGAGTGAGCAGAGGCGGCCTAAGGCTCTGGCCCTCCCAGACCTGAGCTCCTTCCTGTGGCTGACTCACAGGTTTGAATCCTGAACAAGCTGCGTGACTTTAGCGCCCTAACCTATCTGAGCTCTACGGTCACCTGTAAAACCGCACAATGACCTCTAGCCCAACAGGGCTGGCGTCAGGGTGAAACAAGTTAATGTGTGCAAAGAATTTAGCATATGCTCAGTTGCCCCATTGAGCAAGCACGCACTTTGCATGGATTATGTTACTTAATTCTCTCAATAACCTCTCTTCTTGCTCTCTCCTAAACCTCCCTCGCCAAGGTGACTTCTCTGTGTCCAAACCCAACAGTCACATTTCATTCTCTGTCCTCCTCCCCCTCACAGCAGCATTGGACCCAGCTGGTACCCCATCCTCCTGGGAACTTCTCAGGGATCCTGAACTCACCCAGCTTCCCTGTCCCCCTCCAGGGTCCCCTCAGCCTTCCCATCTCTCCCTTGTTGCCTAGGGCTGGATCCTGGGGCTTCTTCCCTCAAGAAAGCCTGGTCTACTCTCAGGACTCCAATCCTGCCCATGCCCCAACGTTACCCACAGACCTATCTACATCCTGGAGTTCTCCTGCGCTCCAGACTCAGGGTCCGCTGTCCGTCAACATCACCATGCAGCGGGTGCTCCCACTCAATACAGCCACGATGCACCCGACCAGCCCCCCAAACCTACTCCTCCCAAATCCCCGCATCTCCAATGACAGCAACCCCATCTACCCACTTGCTCAGAACAAAACTCTTAACACCAAGATTTAATCTATCAGCAAATCCCATCAGATCCACTTTCAAAATTAGTCAGAACCTGACCACGTCTCCATCTCAATAGCTGGGCTGGTCCGCCCCACCATCACCCACCTAGACCAGCATCCAAGTCAGTCTACGCCAAAAACTGAGGACTCCCAGACAAGAAGGAATTCTGCCTCAAGACTGCAGCACCAACTCCTGTCTGAGTTTCCAGCCTGCCAGGGACCCCACAGATGTAAGACTTGCCAGCCAGATATGGACACACATACTTAAGCGACCTAAATTTGTCTGATACACATGGTACTGCTAGTACCATTTCCATTTTACATGACGAAGTCTAAAGCTTAATCCGCGAGGCCGAAGGACGCACCTCATCGGCGACAGCTGCAGGCACGTGGAGCTGGTGTCGCCGGAGCCAGGCGGCCTTGTACTTGTCCAGTTTCTGGCCCTTGTACTTGACGGAGGCCCAGCCACAACCCGACTTCTTGGCCGGGTTCACCAGCTTCTTGCAGTGGGTGGCCCAGGCACTGGGTGAGTTGAACACCTGCCCTGTTTCCTGCCACACGATCCTCCCGTCTGGCTGCAGGTCCCCCATGAACTTCTTCCCCTGCAGTGATAGTGGGCTGGCTGGGCCCAGGACCTGGTACCCACCAAGTCCTCCTCCAGGAAGTCCTCCCTGACCCTGTGCTGCTCCCAGGGCTCAGCACCCACTTCCCACTTCAGCACCCCTTCCAGGAAGCTCTCCATCTTAGGTGCCTCCCTGTACTGACTGTGTCCGCTGCCACAGTCCTGACCAGCTTGGATCAAACCCACCCAAGTATGTGTCTATCCCTCCTCCCCTCACTGTGAACCCCCAAAGGGCAGGGACAGGGTCTGTCTTGATCACTGCTGTGTCCCTAATACCTAACATGCTGGTACACAGCAGATGCTCAGTTCACAAACTGTACCGTTCACAAACCAAACAACAATAGTAATACGAGCAAACACAAAGCACTTACTGTGTAGCAGACACCTTGCCCAGCGCTTTATTCATTTAATTCTCACACAACCCCATTTTACAAGTAAGGGGACTAGAATAGTAGGATGCTGAGAGGTTGAGCGAGGTCACACAGCCAAGAAAGCAGTGGTATCCTCGCTGAGCCCCAATTTCTCCTTTGTGGAATGGGGTGTTTGATGAACGATGGCCTTCTGGGCTCGTGCTGGGTCTGAATGTTCCGTGCCTCAGTTTCCCCTCCCCATTCCCAGGCTCCGCCTGCTGCAAAGCAGCTCTGGGCCTCAGTTTCCCTTCTTGCCCCTGCTGGGATGGGCTGGGGGGCTGGGAGGTGCTCACCAAGTAGTAGATAGACAGCACCCCGGCGCCGGGCTCCAGCTGCGCGTCTTTGAGGAGCACCCGCAGGGTGACCGCGCGCCTGGTGAGCGCGCCCCCCGGC